TTCTGAGAAGTAAATGACCAACTTCATAAGCAAGAAGGTAATAGTACCTTAAAACAATAGCCAAGGAAGTTAGAGTTAGCATATGTTTAGCTTTCTATAGAAACTAAGAATAATATCTTAAGATATCTCTCTGAGTTATTTTTCAGAAACCCAGACCCCCACCATCTGGATCTGCCAGTGCATAGACCTTAAATGAGGAGGAACTGAGGAGTGGGCTCTGACCACTGTTCTTTGTTCTAAATTTCTTCCTGAGGAGCCTGGAGTTTATACCCATGAGCCAGAGCTCACAGTCTTCCGCGGATCCTAAATTTTTAGACAAAGCTTTGTCTCCCTAACCAATTACAAATCAGAAAATCTTTGAATCCATCTATGACCTGTGGTCCCAGGCTTAGAGAGATCTTGCCTTTTTATGTGACATCGGAGCCTTTAGCAATGAAAATTCAAAAAAAAAAAAAAACAAAACAAAACAGGTAAACTTGTATATTTTTATGCTAGGTTTGATGAAAAGGTTGTAGGGAAGTATGATTGGACAAAGATGATAAGACCTAATGGTGACAACTTGGGAGATCTTAGCAAATCCTGTCTGCCCAGATTCCTCTTGGCATCTCTGTGTCTTTGAGGGTAAGGATGCTAGTTTCCTTCAGGTATAGGGTAGTGATATGGTTGGCTCTGTGTCCCCACCCAAATCTCACCTAGAATTGTATTCCCATAATTCCCATGTGTTGTGAGAGGGACCTGGTGGGAGATAATTGAATCATGGAGGCAGTTTCTCCCATGCTGTTCTTGCAGTAATGAATAAGTCTCATGAGATCTGATGGTTTTCTTAGGGGTTTCCGCTTTTGCATCTTCCTCATTCTCTTTGCCCACTGCCATCCATGTAAGAAAGGACTTGCTGCTGCTTGCCTTCCGCCATAATTGTGAGGTTTTCCCAGCCATGTGGAACCGTAAGTCCAATTAAACCTCTTTCTTTTGTAAATTGCCCAGTTTTGGGTATGTCTTTATTAGCAATGTGAAAATGGACTAATATAGTAAATTAGTACCAGAAGTGTGGTGCTGTTGCTGAAAAGATACTTGAAAAAGTAGAAATAACTTTAGAACTGGGTAACAGGCAGAGATTAGAACAGTTTGGAGGGCTCAGAAGAAGACAAGAAAATGTGGGAAAGTTTTGAACTTCCTAGAAACTTGTTGAATGCCTTTGACAGAAATGCTGATAGTAATATGAACAACAAGGTCCAGGCTGAGGTAGTCTCAGATGGAAATGAGGACCTTATTGGGAACTGGAGCAAAGGAGACTCTTGTTACGTTTTAGCAAAGAGACTGGCAGCATTTTTGCCCCTGCCGTAGAGATTTGTGGAACTTTGTACTTGAGAGAGATGATTTAGGGTATCTGGCAAAAGAAATTTCTAAGCAGCAAAACATTCGAGAGGTGACTTGGGTGCTGTCAATAGCATTCAGTTTTAAAAGGGAAACAGAGCATAAAGGTTTAAAAAATTTGAAGCCTGATAACATGATAGAAAAGAAAATCTCATTTTCTGAGGAGAAATTTAAGCCAGCTGCAGAAATTTGCATATGAGTAGGCAAATGTTAATCACCAAGGCAATGGGGAAAATGTCTCCAGGGCATGTCAGAGGTCTTCATGGCAGCCCCTCTCATCACAGATCTGGAGGCCTAGGACTGACACCGGTGTCAGTCCTAGGCCTGACTCCGGTGTCAGTCCTAGACCTGACTGTGGTTTTGCGGGCCTGACCCAGGATCCCCGAGCTGTGTGCAGCCTAGGAACTTGGTGCCCTGCATCTCAGCCATTCCAACTGTGGCTGAAAGGGGCCAGTGTAGAGTTCAGGCTGTGGTTTCAGATGGTGCAAGCCCCAAACCTTGGCAGCTTCCAGGTAGTGTTGAGCCTGCCAGTGAATAGAAGTCAAGAATTGAGGTTTGGGAACCTCTAGAGCCTAGATTTCAGATGTATGGAAATGCCTGGATGCTCAGGTGTAAGTTTGCTGCAGGGGTGGGGCTCTCATGGAGAACCTCAGCTAGGGCAGTGCAGAAGGGAAATGTGGGGCCAGAGCACTCACACAGAGTGCCTACTGGGGCACCACCTAGTGGAGCTGTGAGGAGAGGGACACCATCCTCCAGACCCCAGAATGATAACGGTAGATCCACCAACATCTTCCTTTGGAGGGGGAGATGTGCTCGGATTTTTTTGAATTCCAGCTTTTCTGCCCTGCTTTTTCCCCATCTTTGTGGTTTTATCTGCCTTTGGTCTTTGATGCTGGTGACGTACTGATGGCGTCCTTTCTGTTTGTTAGTTTTCCTTCTAACAGTCAGGACCCTCAGCTGTAGGTCTGTTGGAGATTGCTTGAGGTGCCCTCCAGACCCTGTTTGCCTGGGTATCAGCAACAGAGGCTGCAGAAGATAGAATATTGCTGAACAGTGAGTGCTGCTGTCTGATTCTTGCTCTGGAACCTTTGTCTCAGGGGTGTACCCCACCGTGTGAGGTGTGAGGTGTCGGTCTGCCCCTAGGAGGGGATGTCTCCCAGTTAGGCTACTCAGGGGTCAGGGACCCACTTGAGCAGGCAGTCTGTCCATTCTCAGATCTCAACCTCCATGTTGGGAGATCCACTGCTCTCTTCAAAGCTGTCAGACAGCTGTCACACTCCACCCAGAGGTGGAGTCTACAGAGACAGGCAGGCCTCCTTGAGCTGCGGTGGGCTCCACCCAGTTCGAGCTTCCCTGGAGGCTTTGTTTACCTACTTATGTCTCAGCAATGGCGGGCGCCCCTCCCCCAGCCTCCCTGCTGCCTTTCAGTTAGATCTCAGACTGCTGTGCTAGCAATGAGGGAGACTCCGTGGGTGTGGAGCCCTCTGGGCCAGGTGTGGGATATAATCTCCTGATGTGCTGTTTGCTAAGACCCTTGGTAAAGCGCAGTATTAGGGTGGGAGTTACCTGATTTTCCAGGTGTTGTGTGTCTCAGTTTCCCTTGGCTAAGAAAAGGGATTCCCTTCCCCCTTGTGCTTCCCAGGTGAGGCGATGCCTCGCCCTGCTTCAGCTCTCGCTGGTTGGGTTGCACCAGCTGACCAGCACCGATTGTCCGGCACTCCCCAGTGAGATGAACCTGGTACCTCAGTTGAAAATGCAGAAATCACCCATCTTCTGTGTCACTCGCACTGGGAGCTGGAGGCTGGAGCTGTTCCTATTCGGCCATCTTGCTCCCGACCCCCTGCTCCCACCAACATCTTACACTGTGCACCTGGAAAAGCCACAGACACTCAATATCAGCCCATTAAAGCAGCCAGGAGGGAGGTTGTACCCTGTAAAGCCACAGGGTGGAGCTGCCCAAGGCCATGGGAACCCACCTCTTGCATCAGCATGACCTGGATGTGACACATGGCATCAAAGGAGATTATTTTGGAACTTTAAGATTTGACTGCCATGCTGGATTTTGGACTTGCATGGACCCTGTAGCCCCTTTGTTTTGGCCAATTTCTCCCACGTGGAATGGTATTTACCCAATGTCTGTACCCCCATTGTATCTAGGAAATAACTATCTTGCTTTTGATTTTACAGGGTCATAGGCAGAAGGGACTTGACTTGTCTCAGATGAGAGTTTGGACTGTGGACATTTGAGTTAATGCTGAAATAAGTTAAGACTTTGGGGGACTATTGGGAAGGCATGATTGGTTTTGAACTGTGAGGACATAAGATTTGGCAGGGGCCAGGGGTGGAATGATATGGTTTGGCCCTGTATCCCCACCCAAATCTCATCTTGAATTGTACTCCCATAATTCCCACATGTGAGAAGGACCCAGTGGGAGATAATTGAATCATAGGGGCAGTTTCCCCCATACTGTTTTCGTGGTAGTGCATAAGTCTTGAGATCTGATGGTTTTATCAGGGGTTTCCACTTTTGTGTCTTTCTCATTCTCTCTTTGTCTGCTGCCATCCATGTAAGATGTGACTTGCTCCTCCTTGCCTTCTGCCATGATTGTGAGGCTTCCCCAGCCACATGGAACTTTAAGTCCAGTTAAATCTCTTTCTTTCATAAATTGCCCAGTCTTGGGTATGCCTTTATTAGCAGTGTGAAAATGGACTAATACAGGTAGGCACATCTCACATGAGGTTTTTATGGCTTACTTGAGAGGAAGGTCAGAAAACTGTTTTATGACCTTCTTTAGGGGAAGGGGGAAGGGAAAGGTCATAGAATGATCTTCCTGCGTTTTCCTATTTTTTCAAATGCCAAAGTGCCATATTTTATGCTTGTGTGTCCTGAAACCCATCATGACCTTAAAGAAACAGTCAACCTGTTTCATCAAGAGATAAGGTGAGGTATGTTCATCAAATATAAGGTGAGCATATTCTCAAACTACTTCTTACTAAAAGGAAAATGACTTTATAGTCAAGCCTTGACAACAATTTTTATGATAGGGCATTCTCTTTATTGTTTTATTTGTTTCAAAAAGACAATTTGTGAGGGTAGGCAAGTTTATGCTGTGATAACAAATTAATCTCAAAGTTGCTCTGCTTTAATATAACTTATTTCTTATTCACACTACATGTCCCTCATGGGTTGGCAGACTGCAGTTCCATAGGGGAATCTAGGACAATAGAGGCTGCACCATCTTGTAACTGCACCAAGTGGAATATATGCCAATGATACGAGAAACTTGTATGTGGACTTTTCCCTACCTTAGCTAGGAAGAGATACAATCATTGACTCCCAAGTTTTATTGATTAGAACTCCTCACTGAACCTCATCTAATTGCAAGGGAGCTGGGCGCGGTGACTCACACATGTAATCCCTGCAGTTTGGGAGGCCTAGTTGAGCAGATGGCTTGAGCCCAGGAGTTTGAGACCAGCCTTGGCAACATGGTGAAACCCTGTCTCTACAAAAAGACACAAATTAGTTGGGCATGGTGGTGCATGCCTATAGTCCCAGCTACTTGGGAGGTTGAGGCAGAAGGATCACCTGAGCCCAGGGAGGTCAAGGTGGCAGTGAGCTGTGATCACACCACTACACTCCAGCTTGGGCAACAGAGTGAGACCCTGTCTCAAAGAAAAAAGTGCAAGGGGGCTGGGAAGTGTAGGAAAAGAAATGTATTTGTTGAGCATTATACTCTCTGCCACAACACATTAGCCCAATATCACCTCAGTTAATATTAATTTGTAACATGTAATACTGATCAGCTGACAGAATTGTTTTTAAAAAGGGAAAATAATATATTTTACACAAATTTAGTTAGATAGTTTTGTAAACAAAAGTTTTAAAGATGACTTAAAAAGCGATAAAATGAATGGTTACATTTATTTTCAACCATACACTGAGGATAAATTTTAAAATCGCTTTCTTAATGTTATACAAAGAGGTACTTTTGAGATCTGAGATAAAATATCCATTGACAGCATCATACATAGATAGATTCAGAAGGATATCTCTCTTCCAACAACTAAGGCAGAAGTGAAAGTGTTGTACTTTAGAAAATATGAGCCTAGAGAAAAAGCACCCTTCTAAATTAACTTCATTCTATATATTTTTTATAAAGCAAATTAATTATAAGTACATAGGTGTAATTATAAGTACACAGATGACTACTTTACCAATAATCCTAAAGTTCATAAATGGAAGTTATCCTTAAGAAACTTTTTAAACTCTTTGCGTAAGACAAAAGGTAAATATTGCCTTGAATTCGTGCTTGCATGGTTTATAAAATGAATGAAAGAGACTATAAAGGAGACTTCTAACAAATTGATTTCAGGTAACAGCAATATGTATTTAAGCATTCTAGAATCTGCTTAAGTTTACCTGAAAAAAGTAAGGTTATGAGATGAGCTTGTATTCTGAACCACACAATCTCGTATTGCCTGTACAGTGTCTTGAATTTTTGCTCCTGCTGCACTTTAGATTGCCAAGTCCTGCCACTGTAAAATGATTATAAACACATGGGCAGGAGTCAGGCTTCATCTAGTTCAATTGTCTTTTAACCCCCAGGAGCCCTAGCCCTAGCACTGTCCTGAGTGTCAAAGAAGCCCTGTTCTATTAACATTTCTGAGGTATTTGCAGTGGTTGCTACTGACAATTTGATAAAAGCAGCAGCCTGTGCAGCCTCAGCCATTTTGGATAACGAATAAATTCCTAAATAGGTAGTCAAATTGATTGCTCATTAATTTAAAAATGCCACAGTGGCACATATTTTTATTATCCTTCTTTTCTCCCTTCTTATCTCACATTTATCTTCACATATATCATGCATTTTAAATATTTGCCCTCCTGAGTAACTTTTCTTAAAAGTCGGAAAGAAGTGAATATTTTCAATGATGACTTAGCAAGTTTTTGTTTTAATTGTGAGTTACAGAAAAAGATCCAAGTATGTTTTAAAATAAAAGTAAAACCGTGTGATTTCTCTTTCTAAGCAAGATAAATCACATTTGATGCAAGTCATCCTGTTCACATGAACAAAAAGCCCCCTTTTTATTTATCAATTTTTAAAATTTACCAACAAATCTATGCTTGTTTCATTTGAATAATTTGAAAGCATCTAAATGTCACTGGTAGAGAGTTGGGACTGCAAGTTGTCCAGGTTCTTGGCATTTTGAACAAAGAATTGGACAAAACACTCTGCAAAGCAGAGAAAGAATGAAGCAACAAAAGAACCAAAGCAGGGATTTATTGAAAAGAAAAGTACACTCCACAGTGTGGGAGCAGGCCCAAGCAGTGGCTCAAGGGCCTGGATACAGAATCTTCTTGGATTCTGTATCCAAGAAGAAACTTTTGGAAACCCCCAAAAGTTTCCCATTGACCACTTCATGCTCATCTCATGTAAATGAAGTGGTAGCCTGCAATCAGTCTGATTGGTTGCAGAAAGCAGGTAAACAGAGGCTGAAGTAAAGTTACAAAGGTCACATTCTTGTGCAAACATCTGATTGGTTGCAAACACCAACCAAGCACAGGCTAGGGTAAAGTTACACGGTTATACTTCATTGCAAATGAAGACTCGGCCCACAATCAGTCTTATTGGTTGCAGCCAGCCAGTTTCCCAACTGCAGTGCAGAAAAGGTCAAAGGGAGTAGCCTCTGGTCCTTTTGTTCCTTAAGCATGGAAAGTTAGTGTTTTCCTTTCAATTTAGTTCTAGGAAGTCCGCGTTAAACAGCCTTAAGTTCCCTGCCTCCAGACCCTATTATCCTGCCTCATCATCCCCTTGAGAGACATGATCCCCATAAATCTTTATGGGAGACAGAGGGACTGAAGGTCTTTCTTCTGTAACTGCTTGATTTTGACTTGGGGCATAGTCCCTACCTGTTGGAGATTCCAGAACTCTCACTCCACTCTGTCGCGTGGAGACAGGGTGCTTCTTGATGGCGGGGGACGGTGCCTTCACCTGGAGCTGGCTGGAAGCCTTGTCGCATGATTATCTGAAGCTTGATGATCTCTAGGCAAAAGGAAATGAATTCGGTTAAAAGATTTAATGGGAATTTCAGGAGTGGATGCCTATGCTGTCAGGAATGTTTGTTATAGAAATAAAAATTCTGCTTAATTACTATAAGGGAAGTGATTCCATCCATTTGGAAGAAGGCAATTACACTGCAAAAATAAAAAATGGCTACTATTATCCAGCCCACAGTAACGATGCAACAAAGACACCAAGGAAAGTTGGTGGGCATTTACTTATCTTTTGGCTGTCTTCTAAACAGGTACTTCAGGTCTTCCACAGGTTCACAGGTTTAGTGGCTGTTGGGAACTTCATGTTCCTGATCTGGGGTTTCTGGTATCACTGGCTTGATCCTTGAAAGATGTATCCAACTATCTAATCCTACTACTTCTACCACAGAAGGCACGGCCAGTGTTACTGAAAATGGTCCCTTCCATTTGAGTTGTAATTGTTGAGCAGGTGATTCCTCCTTCCATGTTTTAACAAGTACCTCATCTCCTGGCCTGATATCGGGCTGCTGGTTAGTTCCCAGTGTGGGGAGCCTTTGACCTCCAAACTTTTGTAAAAGCTGTTGAAATTGTCCTAGGTTGACTAGGTATTTTACTAAACCTACTGTTTCCGGGTCAGTAATTAAATCAGTAGTTAAGAATGGCCTTCTATATAACATTTTGAATGTGCTTATATTAATTTTTGCTCTAGGGTTATTATGGATCCTTAAGAGGGCTATGAGCAGTAAGGTGACCCAAGTTTCTGATGTTTCCTGACATAGTGTAGCTAATGCTCATTTTAGAGCTTGGTTAGCCCTTTCCACTTTCCTGAAGGATTGATGTCTCCATGCTGAATGTAAATAGTATTCTATTCCGAGAGCCTTAGCAACCCCTTGAGTTATCTGGGAGATAAATGATGGGCCATTATCACTTTGGAGGCTCTGAGGTGACCCAAACCAGGGGATTACTTCTTTTAAGAGAAACTTTATAACCTCATTAGTCTTCTCTGTTCTGGGAGGATAAGCTTTGACCCAACCAGTAAAGGTATCTATTAGCACTAACAAAAACTTGTGTCCTCTGTCAGCTGGCATATGTGTGAAGTCTAATTGCCAGTCTTCTGCTAGAAGACTATCTGCTAGATAAGTTCCTCTTCTCTGCACTGGTTCTATTAGAGGAGACATTTTGTTTCCTGGGTTAAGTGCACATAGTCAGCAGGCTTGGCAGACCTGCTTAGCCACTGAAGCTAGGTTAGACCTGGTAAAGAGCTTATTTACCATGGCCAGAGTTGCATCCCTCCCCACATGGAAAGAGGCATGCAGGACTTTTCTAACTTTCCACTGGGCTGTCAGAGGGACATATGTTTTTGACCCCATATACCACCAGGATCCTTGGTTTTATCCCCTTGGTTCCTTTATTAGTTGTTCTTTCTGTAGTGCTACTCAGGTTCTATTGGGGAATCATAGAAAGGGAGCGCTGCTAGGATCTGTTGGGATTGCACTCTGAAGGCTGTGGCTTTGTCTTCTCTGTCAGCCTTGCTGTTCCCTTGTGCTATAGGGGTTAAGTTGCTTTGATGCTCCCTACGATGAATTATAGCCACGGGCTTTGGCAGATGCATTGCTTCTAATAGCTGAAGAATTTCAAGCCTATGCTTTATAAGGGAGTGTTTGCTAGTTAGTAGTCCCCTTTCCAGATTGCAGCATAAGCATGAACCACAAGGAATGCGTATTTAGAATCTGTATAGATGTTAAGCTTTTTTCTTTGTCCCAACATTAATGCTCAAGTGAGAGCAATGATTTCAGCCTCTGTGCTGATGTGCCATTGGGCAGTGGCTGGGCTTCGATAATTGTGTTATGATTTAGTACTGCATATCCAGCTCAGTGCCCCCCATTTGATACAAAACTATTTCCACCTGTGAACCAGTCATCCTCAGCGTCTGGAAGAGGCTGGTCTTTTAGATCAGGCCAGCTAACACGTGTGTGCAATGACCTGCTCAAAGGAATGATCAGATACTGGGGCTATGGGCAGCAATGCAGCTGGATTCAGAGTGTTACAGGCTTTAAGGATTACGTCTGGATTGTCTAGGAGCATGGTCTGGTATTTGGTTAACCTTTCCCCCATCATCCAGATGTGTCCCTTTATCTATAAGACTGATTTTACCTGATGGGGTATTAGAACTTCCAGTGGTTGGCCCAGGGTGATTTCAGTGGCTTCCTCCATTAACATAGCAGTGGCTGCTATTTCCTGCAGGCAACTTGGCCACCCCGAGGCCACTCTATCCAGCTTCTTTAAAAGTAGGCAATTGTTCTGGGTTCTGAACCTAATTTCTGGTCTAGCACTGCCACAGCTATGCCCCCTTCTCTGTTACATACAAGAAGGGCTTAGTTAGGTCTGGGATGCCAAGAGCGGAAGCTGGGTGAGAGCCTGTCTTAACTTGGCAAAGGCTTCTCTCATTTTCAAGATCCATTCCATTAGCTCATTTTCAGATCTCCTCATTGCTTCATACAGGGGCTTTGCTATGATCCCCAAATTTGGTGCCCATATTCTGTAAAACCTGGCCATTCCCCCAAAAAGAATTAAGCTACTGCTTGGTGTGGGGGCGCCCCCAGATCACATATGGCTTGCACTCGTTCTGGGGATATTTGCTGGGCTCCAGGTGTTAAGACATACCCTAAATATTGGACCCATTGGAGGGTAGTCTGCATGTTCTTTTTGGACACTTTGTATACGCTGTCCACCACGAAATTCAAAGCTTTTATAGTATTTTGGTCAGAAACCTCCTGGGTTGGGCTATACACAAGAAGGCCATCCACATACTGAAATATACTCCCGTTCCCCAATTGCAGGTCCCTCAGATCCCTGTCTAAGGCCTAGGCAAAAAAATGGGGCCTATCCCGAAAACCTTGAAGGAGGCCTGTCCAAGTGTATTATTGTTTTTTTCCTGGTACTAGGATTTTCCTGTTCAAAGGCAAAAAGGTATTGGGACTCTGGGGCCAGAGAAATAGAGAAAAAGCGTCTTTTAGGTCTAGAACTGAGAACCATTTTGCATCCCCTGGCACCCGAGCCAGGAGGGTATATGGATCTGCCACTAATGGGTGGATAGTGGTGACAGCCTGATTAATTACTCTGAGGCCCTGTACTAACCAGTATTCCCTCGAAGTCTTTTTTTTTTTGTCTTTTTTTTTTTTTTTTCCTTTTTGTGGAGAACAGGGTCTCGCTATATTACCCAGGCAGGTCTCGAACTCCTGGGCTCAAGCTATCCTCCCGCCTCTGCCTCCCTGAGAGCTGGGATTACAGGCGTGAGCCACCGCGCCCGGCCCCTCGAAGTCTTTAGAACAGATAAGATGGGGATATTGCAGGGAGAATTACAGATTTAGAGCAGATAAGATGAGGATATTGCAGGGGATTTTAAGAGCCCATAGGTAAGTATTACCTCAACTATGGGTGCTAGGCCTTTTCTTGCTTCCTGCCTAATAGGGTATTGTTTTATATTGGGAAAATAGTTGGGATCTTTAAGCTGTATTTTGACTGGCACTGCTGTTCTATCCTTCCCCAGTTTTCCAGTATACCATGTCAGCAGGTTAACCTGTTCATTAATGTGGTCTAGGACATTGTTCAAGCAGGGAATCAGGTGGAATAGGTGGAGGGTTGTCTACAGTGGAATCAGGTGGAATAGACTGAGAGTTGCCCACAGTGGTCTAGAAAAGAGACTTTGAAAAGTGGAGGGCTCACTAGGTGACCCAAATTTTACCTGGAGCATTCCCCTGGAAAAAATACGGGCCCAGACTAGGGTCCCTGGGGGCATCCCCCCTTTAGGGCCCTGGCTGAGTCTGTTGGATGTTGCCAACCTTAGATGGGTGCCAGCACTGCTTTGGAATGGTTCTCTCCACCACTGAGGACTTACTGTGAACTTTTCTTGAGGTTTTTCTATCCTACTTAAAGCAACTTTTTGACTCTTTCAACTTAGGCAATAATAATCCCCACCCGCCATGCATCACACACACCACCTACCACATGCCCAGGCCATCTGACTTGTATAACCTTTTTGCATAGCTAGGTGGGTTTTCTGTCCTTAGCCAGTTGTGTGGGGGAAGGGAAGAATTTAGCATAAGAAAAGAAGGGGTTTAAGTTACCTGAAACGTGTGTGAATTCGCCCTGGATGAGCTGCTGCAGCCAACTGTGTCACACGTAGGGTTCCAGGAGTATAACCAGAAAGGACAGAAAAGAGTCTTTTCCCTTTCCAGGCAAGGCATACATCCCTGTTTGCTTCTTGGCCTTCAGAGCACACCAGAGAGCGGCCCCAGTTTCCCTCAATTACCAGGAGCTACTAGGAAACCATCGCTGAAAGACTGAAAAAGGAGAAAAGGAAAAGAAAAAAAAAAAAAAAAACCTCAGAAAAAGGGAAAAAAATATAGGACTCAGAAAAACGAAAACAGGAAAAAGGACTCAGGTCCCTCACTTGAACTGGGCAGTGGCAGTCAGGCACTTCCACGTGGAAACCTTTCAGTTCACCAGAGAGTGGCCCTGGGCAGAAACTTGCATGAAGTCTCCATGCTTAGGTGGTGTCCACCTAGGGCACTGAGTTGGAAAGGAAGAGAGAGAGAAAGATTTAAAAGAGGAAAGGAAAAAAATCCCAAACTTTGGGCCTACCTTTCCTCCTGGCTGGCTTGCCAAGATATGTCCCTGGTAGAGGGTTGTGACTGCAAGTTGTGCAGGTTCTTGGCATTTTGAACAAAGAATTGGGCAAAATGCCCAGCAAAGCCAAGAAAGAATAAGGCAACAAAAGAAACAAAGCAGGGATTTATTGAAAACGGAAGTACACTCCACAGTGTGGGAACGGGCCAGAGAAGCAGCTCAAGGGTCCGGATACAGAATCTTCTTGGGTCCAAATACCCCCTAGAAGTTTCCCATTGGCCACTTCATGCTCACCTCATGTAAATCAAGTGCTAGGTAGCCTGCAACCAAGCAAATCTGATTGGTTGCAGAAAGCAGCCAACTGGAGGCTGAAGTGGTTACACATGTCACACTCTTGTGCAAACCAATTGGTTTTTGCAACCAGTCAGAAGCTAGGGTGAAGTTACAAAGTTATACTTCTATGCAAATGAAGACTCGGCCTGCAATCAGTCTGATTGGTTGTGGACAGAAACCATTCAGAGACTGGAGTGAAGTTACAAAGTTGCACACGAATACTTAACCCACAATCAGTTTGATTTGTCACCAACAGCCAATTTCCCATCTGCAGTGCAGAAAAGGGGAGGAGTTTGCAAAGGGAGTAGCCTCTGTTCCTTTTGTTACTCAGGCGTGGAAAGTTAGGTTTTCCTTTCAATTTGGTTAAAGGAAGTCAGTGTGAAACAGCCTTAGGTTACTTGCCTCCAGATCCTATCCTCCTGCCTTATAAGGATGACCTTAAAAGAAAGAGACAGAGGGCCGGCTGCAGTGGCTCATACCCATAATCCCAGCACTTTGAAAGGCCAGGGAGAGAGGATTGCTTGAACTCAGGCATTGGAGACTAGCCTGGGCAACATAGTGAGACCTCGTCTCTACTGAAAAACCAAAAACATTAGTTGGGCATGGTGGTGCATGCCTGTGGTGGGAAGATTGCTTGAGCCCAGAAGATTGAGGTTATAGTGAGGTATGGTCATACCACTGCACTCCAGCCAGGGGGACAGAGTGAGACCCTATCTCAGGAAGAAAAAAAAAAAAGCGAAAGAGAATACTGTTTAATTAACAAATACCACATGCGCTCAATGCTGATATAAATTCTATATAGTAATCTGTGGATTTTCCCCCATGTTTACTTAATGAGGGTAAGATAATTTTGAGAGAATTTTGGATATTAGAAAATGCATTCAGAAATAGGAAATGCAACACCACACAGTCCTTTCTGCCTATATACATGTTCACGACTCCAGTAACAGTTTTAAAAAGAGAAGGAAATTAGTCCTTCCAGAGAATTCCTTGGTTCCACATGCCCGGGATGAGGGATCATACAAAAATAGAAAGAATCTGGTGTGAAAATAGGCCACACCAGGGCTCTAATCCCAATTACATCACTAACCCTATAACTTTGGACAATTACTCAACCTGTTTAAGCTGCATGTTCATCTGAAACCTAGGAATAGGGTTACCAGACAAAATATAGGACATCCATTTAAATTTGAATTTCACTAAAACAATCAATAATTTTTCAGTATGAAGTATGTCCCATGCACTACTAGCAAAGCACATAGAAGAATGCAACAGTATACAATAACTTTTTCTCTGAAATTCAAATTTAACTGGTCATGTTGTATTTTTATTCATTGTATCTGGCAACTCTATGAAGGAATAATAATTCTCACTCTAGCCTTTAGGTGGGGACTTGATAAGTCAGTTTTCTAGAGACTGTACTAAAAGGCTTTGCAATTATTTTCAATCTCATTTAGTATTGAAACAAGTCCAGTGAAGAATGGAAAATTATTGTCTTCATTTTCCAGATTAGCAAAAAGGTTAAAATTCAGAAATTTGTCCAAAGTTACATAGTCATAATGGCAGAGCGACGATTCAAGGGGGAGCTGTTTAACACCAAGGCCTGGAAGCTTTACTCTGTGACAGTGGTTCTCAAACTTCAGCATGTTTCAGAGTCATCAGGAGAGTCTCTTAAAACACAGATTACTAGGCCCAGCCCACAGGTTTCTGGTTCAAATGATCTAGAATAGGGCTCCATAATTCACATTTTTCAAACATTCCAGGTGTTATTGAGGCTGCTGGTTTAGGGACTAGTTTGAGAACTGCTGTCTGCTGTCCTGTGGTGTGCCATCAGTGCCAGTGCTTGGTACTTGTAAGTGACAGCTTCATGATGCCACTCATCATGAGCCATCAAAGAAATCATGCCCATTTAGCACTTATTGGCTTTTAAAACATTGTTATGAAGCAGAAGGTAGTAATGAAAATATGCAGCCCCACAAGTAGTACTCCAAAATCCCTGATCTTTTTAAGGCCGTGAATGCCTTTCCTGCTTCCTCTTCTGACTTTGGAGAACTTCTCTCTAGTATTGTCCTTGAAAGAAGCACCATTCCCCAGAGATAACCAGTAATTGGAAGAAACACCACTTGGAAGTCATCAACACACAATTTTATTTAGTCCCTCTCTGTTTCTTGAAAATGTATTCAATGGGGAAATTTTTTCTCTGTCCCCTCAATAAAGATTTGGGCAAACTCATGACTTTTCTTCTCTTTTAGCTAACAGACAGTCCAAAGGTCACTTTAGGTCTCTCTCTCTCTCTCTGCCTCTCTCTCTCTCTCTCTTTCTCTCTCTCTCTCTCTCACACACACAGCCCACTTTAGAAATTAGACCATCTAGCCCCCCAGTTAACACACTATTTCTCCCCTCTCACCTAAAATTTCTTTAAAGAGCCCCCAAACTACTATTTTTTAAATTTGTAAATTATTATTTGTCACACTCTAAAAATGATATTGATACTGATACCATTTCTAGCATTCCACTAATTTTTAGCTGGCAAATAACATTAACAGCTGGTCACTGCATCATCATCTGGGGCTGCAATATGGTGAAATATATATTTGATCTTCTTCCATTTCTTGACAAATAGCTTCTAAAACCCTTGGAATCTCCAGAAAGAGAAGGGTGTCTTTTTTATGCTAATGAGGTAACTGGTGGTAGGGAGCCGCTATGTAGCTTCAGGATGAGGCTGGTCACTGCAAGACCAAGGCATGATGAGAGGGTTGATGACTTTCAGCCCCACCGTCAACCTCTGGGGAGGGGAGGGGGCAAAGAGTTAAAGGTTGAGCTGATCATCAATGGCCAATGATAGAATCACTCTTGCTTATATAAGGAAGCTTCCAGGAAAACCTAAAAGGCAGGGTTTAGGGAGCTAACTGATATCTGAACACACGAGGGTTCCTGGAGGGTGGCACGCCTGGAAAGAGAATGGCAGCTCTGTGCCCCTGCTCACATACCTTGTCCTGTGTATCTTTCCATGTTGCTGTTCATCTGTATCCTTTGTAATATCCATTATGATGAATGGGTAAACATAAGTAAAGTGTTTTTCTGAGTTCTCTGAGCTGCTCTAGCAAATTAACAGAGCTTGACGAGGGGCTCATGGGAATCCCAATTTGTAGCTGGTCAGTCAGAAGCAAAGGTCACAACCTGGGGCTTGTGATTGGCATCTGAAGTGAGGGGTACTCGTCAGACTGAGCCTTTAACCCCTGGGATCTGAAACTATCTCCAGGGACATAGTGTCAGAATTGAATTATTGGCCACCTAACTGGTATCCGCTAAAGAAGTACTTAGTATGTGTGGAAATATCCCCCAACATTCGGTGTCAGTAGTGTTGAGTGATGTGTGAGGGAGTATAGGAAAAAACACCTTTGGATTTTTTCCATATCTTTTATGAGCAGAATTGGTATTAGGCTCTGAAAAATAATGGTCTTTACATTGCTGGCTTTGAGACCCACAGTTTTCTCAGGAGGTCTTTGTAAACATTCTCCCAGATTCACATAGGCCAGAATTTGATGGTTAAATGCCAGAATAATGATTGAACTAGGTGAACAGACAGTTCTATTTGTACCAAAGACATTGTGGTACCAGAAAATAGTCCCCATGACACAGCAGCAGAGCCTTGTCTCCCCACAGGGTGCCTGAGGTGTGTCCCCACAGTGTTACCAAACTGAATTTCAGTCTATCTGCCCAGTGCAGCAAAGCCAGACATTGACATCGGGATGGCAGTGACAGAAAGTGAGGCACTTATTGCAGGGCACCAAGCAAGAAGAACTGGGCAGCTAAGGCTTAAGACCCAGACTCCCCAATGGCTTACAGGTAAGGGTTTTAAAGGTGAGGAGGCAGAGGTTACAGACAAAGCCATAAATTAATACATGGGGGCTATACATTGGTTTGACCTAAAAAGTCAGGGACCCACAGCTCATAGGTGGATTTAAAGATTTTCTGATTTGCAATTGGGAGGCAAAGATTTGTCTAAACATATGGGATCAGCAGAAAAGAATGTGAGCTATGGCTCATGGGTGTGACCTCCTCCAGGTCACTCAGGAGGAAATTTATAACAAAGAACAGCAAATCAGAGCTCAGTCCTCAGTTCCTCCTTATCTGAAGACTACGCACAAGTAGAACCATTTAATAGGGGTCCAGGTTTCTGAAAAATAACTCAGGGACATATGTTGAGAGGTTATCTTTAGTTTCTACAGGGAACCAAACATTCCCTGACTCTAACTTTTTGGCTATTGTTTTAGGATACGATTTCCCTCATGCTTATGAAGGTG